GCTACTGAAAAGGCTCTCCTCCGTGTGGTTGCCAGTCGACACTGACTGGCAGATGGTACTCGGAGGAGGCCTAATCTAATCGGTCGCAGGGAGGTAATTGGCAGGAGGCGGTCTCTCTCATTGCATAATCTGAAATTTATTCTGCTTCATATAATTATGAAATATAGCAGTGCTTAAGGTACATAGGAATCTTGATTACTGTTTTTCTGTAGCAAATTACCAAAATTATATATCCCTGACATTTCTTACGGTTTGCAAATAATTTTTAAAGTCCCCTGCAAATTTAAAACAAAATTCCTGGGGATACAAATGAGAATTTTAGGATACACTCTCCTATTTTTATTTGACCTGAAAATCCACCTTTCTATTCCATATTTTGTGTCCTCTCAATGATCTTCTGGGGACTTTAGGTTCCTGATGTGCATGAACTGGGAAGGACAGCTTGATGCTTTCAAAGTCTGCCTTTCCAATTCTTATCTTCCTGTTACAGGATTTGCCCCAACACCTCCCTATCTGCATAAATGAATACTCTGCTTAATTAAATTTTATCAGTTGTATTTTCTTTAGGATGCCAGCTTCTTCCAGGAACAGAAAAATCAGTCTTTTAACAATGAACAAATCTTAAATGTGAACACTCAGACTGCAGTAATTCCCTATCTGATTTACTTGAATTGGAGAATTTGGCTTTACTGGAGGAATGAAGCAGGGATTGAGACTAATCCAATGTATTTAGGTTCTGAGGCAAACAAGAGGAATGTTGTGTATTTTGGCCTTAAAGCTATACTGAGAAATGCATCAGTGGTTGCACACCAGGCAATGAGAGGATAATAATGCTTTGAGAGAACTTTGATGAGAGGGAAAGCCTCAACGCAACCTCTCTGTAGGCTAGATTCAGGGGTGTGCTGCTACGGATTCGCCTGGGTTCGGGAGAATCCATAGCTAACATTATGGCCGGTTTGGAGAACCTCCAAATCCCATCCCTGGCTGGCCCCACCCCGCCCCTCCCAGGAGTCTCCACGCAGCCCGTTTTGGATGTGAGGTACATGCAGGGCCCGTGCGGAGACTTGGGAAGGCTTGACGAAAACCGGGCCTCCTGGAAGTTCTGGAAGGCCGGAAACAGGCCTCCGGAGCCCGGGGGAGCAGTTTTTGCCCTCCCAGAGGGTTGAGGAAAACCTGCAGAGCCTGGGGAAGTCAAAAAAGCATTCCCCCCCCCCCTGCTATGGTGCAGGAGGCCGACTAGGCGATGCCCACTATGGCCACACCCACCCAGCAACTGGGCAGAGAACCCGTTGCTGAAATTTTTGAAGCCCACCTCTGGTTAGGTTTATCATATTCTTATGCCATTATGCTCTTAAAAATCATGGCCCTTGTATAGAAATGTTGCCTTTCATTAATTTGTCCCAGTTTTGTTTTCTGTATTTCAGAGAGCAGATCAAGAGAGTGAAGGACTCCGATGATGTGCCCATGGTATTGGTGGGGAATAAATGTGACCTTCCTGCCCGGACTGTGGAAACACGGCAAGCCCAGGAGCTGGCTCGGAGCTATGGGATTCCATACATAGAGACGTCAGCCAAAACTAGACAGGTATACCCGGGGGGGGGGGGAGGAGGATAATGCAAACCACGCAGACTCACTTTTTCCACCTTCACTTGAGGAAAGAATCTACTCCATACTTCCAAGATGTAATCTTTAGGGTGTTTCTGTGGTTTCCAGAGAGTCTGTTGAACTTTTCATTGTTGCCCTTGTAAGTCAGTGGAAACTTTTTGGCTCCTCTGCAGGGCTTCTGCAATCAGCTGAAGTTTTGGTGTATTGAATTGTTGGTCCTGGATTGTTGAATTGTGCAATAATAACAGCAAGAAACTTACCAAAGCTTTGTTTCAATTCCACCTTTGCTGACTGTCTCTTTTGATAGAAAAATGTTCAGCTCAGCCCCCTCCAAGGAAATTACGTACCTTTAGGAATTGTGTAAACAGATGGCTCTTCAGCTTACTTTCTCTGTTTGTATAAGCCTATTGTGGTTGTCTGACTTAACTGGGCTGGAGCTGGCCCTTAGCTCTATTGAGCCAATAATGTGCATTTACTGTTGGGTTGCTAGGGTTCCAGCTGGTTTTTATTGATCAAGTTGTGTAGTTTCTGCTGATGGTTCCTGGCACTAGGGAACAAAAGTGAAAATTGCAGCAAGTTTGGATTAAGAGTGGCCTTGTTCCATTAAGATGATGCTGGACATGACTGGCAGGTAGCCTGGTTTAACAGTTGTCAGTAGCAATAACAAAGGCAAATGTTCAGCGAACAGTGATGGGGTGTTTTGTACTCTGCCATTTGTCCAAACTGTTCTGTCCAAGCGCATGTATTTGCTGTCAATTTAGGCAATCAGCTCTGGGTCTATGATTTGGATTCAAAATATGGGCACTTAGTAAACAGTCACACCATTGTCACATCTACCGATTCTGCCAGTTGTTTCTAGAACATCTACCAGCTCACAATTAAATGGTTTTGCTTTTTTGTATTTTGAGGAGGAGGAGGAGGAAAGCTTCTACCCCTTTGAATGAAATCCTGGATTAGCTCTAGTAAGGCATTCAGAACTGAGCAGCAGTGGAAAACACATGTTGAACGGCTCTTGGAAATGTTCTTTCTCTTTGCTTATACACACAAATTGCATGATGTTCAAAACACTTCATTGACTTGTTGCAGGGAGTCGAAGATGCCTTCTATACTTTAGTGCGAGAGATCCGGCAGCACAAACTACGTAAATTGAATCCCCCAGATGAAAGTGGTCCAGGCTGCATGAACTGCAAATGTGTAATATCATGACCAAGGTGAGTCACTGAGAGAAAGAAAAGGCGCGGTTTTGTTAGAGAAAAAGACCTCTCAGATTATATACCGAAAAACTGTTGTCTTTGAACCCATGCATGGTCCACACCCTTCCCTTTCTCAGTGTTATGAGTCTGATCTCCTTCAAGAAGACCGAATGTGTCTTGTCATTGGTTGCAAAACTGGCCACTTCCTCAAAAGGAAGTCTATTTTTACTACAGTTCTTGAGGGAAAAACGTTTTGAATTAGAACACTGACAAGAATGAGGAGACATTAACCATTTTTTTTCTTCATCCATGAATTTGTATTTGCTTCTCTTCTAACTTGGATACCCCACTTTATATACCTCTGTTTTTCTTGTTTTATCTCCTCCTGCTTTCCAAGTTTCTGACTGATTTCTGTTGCTTTTCTTAGGCGAGGTTCGCACTGCTCCATTTCCATACCTTAGTCCTTTCCTTCTCTGTGGATAGGTGTCATATATAATGTGTCTTCTATAGATAGGGCTCAGGTTACAGTTCCCATCAGCCTAACTAGCATAGATGATTCTGAAGGGGAATGATGGTGGTTGTAGTTCCAGGTTTTGAATGGCCTCTTTAGATAATACAGTGTGTTTCTCGTTTGGATGCTACATGAAGTCATTCTGAAGAGCCAAAGTTTGTCCTGGGTTTAATAATAACAGAACAAAATATATGTATTGTTTGTTCAGAATCTATTTGAGAGATTTTATAGAGAGGAATTAATGCCTCAAATATTTAAAGATATTTAAAATAAGATATTTAAAATTCATGCTGTGAGACCTGTGGTTGAAATACAAATAGATAATATATTGGAATGATCCCACCCTTCTTCAGTGTATTTGTTATTTAGTAGCAAACTAAGGGATGAAAATGGCATTTGGAAATACATTGTTACGTATTGTTTATAGAATTAGAAGAAAAGCTCTTCATTGCCAGAGCACCCTTTTCGTATTCAGCTGTCAGGAGTCAGGTGTCAATACACACACACACACACACACACACACACACACACACACACACA